AAACAGAATCTTAGAGATGTTAAGTAAATTGCTAGTTATAAGCTTGTCCACAGTTGGTGAAGTGGAGCTGGGATTCAAACCACATATGTTGGCTATCTCCAGGATAAATGCTCATTACTCTGTATAATATCTGCCCATCTGAGTCGAGGAGCAGTTCGTAGAAGAAGACATGAGCTGAGCATTGAAAGATAAAGCATTTAACAGGAAGATGAGAGGGCGAAAGGCAATTCAGGTGAAGGAGAACACATGCAAAAATGGAAGAGTTCTGCTTGGCAGAATGGTAATGATTTCTACAGACTAAACTCACACAGAGACAAGCCCAGGGCCAGGCACTTACCATACCATGTCTCTTATGCTTCACCATACTTTTGTAAGACATATGTTATTTCCCTCTTTTACCCCTGAGGAGAATGAAGCTCAGAGAAGTTAGGTGACTCAACCAAGTTCATAGAGCCAGGGAGGTGATAGAACTGGCCTCTGAATGCAGGTCTAGTAAGCTCTACACACTCCTTTGGATGGCAGAACGTGATGAGGGCAGAGGAAGGAGGAAGCATGATAGCAGTCTCAAAGATTTTTCGTTGTGACCCACGATAAGAAATGTATTTACTATGACCCAGTATGTACATGTGTATGTATACGGTAGAATTTTCTACCGCTCACCAACATCTATGTCTATCTCTGGACATATTGGAGGATTATACTTCTCTGTCTCCTTGCATTTAGGCAGTCACATGATTAGCTCTGGCCAATAGATTATGAGAAGTGATATTTATCAATTTCTGGCCAAAGCATTTCACTTCAGGTTCAAGACCATCCAGTGTTCTCTTTCCTTGCATCAGTGATTGTGAAAGCATATATTGATATCGAGGTGCCACAAAATTGAAGACCCCTGCATTGCTAAGCCAACAAAAAGAAAACAGTTGCCCTTGAGCGTCTCTGAGATCCACAGTAGACTTTGCATGAATGAAACATAAGCTTAGCTCTGTTAAGCCAATAAGATCTTGGTTTTGTTTGTTACTGCCACAAAACTTTTTTTTTTTGGTGGGTGGCCAGTTCAGGGATCCGAACCCTTTACCTTGGTGTTACAACTGCACTCTAACCAACTGAGCTACTGGCCAGCCCACTGCCACAAAAGTTAGCCTATCTTCATTTATGTAATATATAAATGAAACAAACATCACTTCCATTACTATATGCAATATACTCCAATGATTTCAATTCTATTCTATTGCAATTTAAAAATGGTTACTTGTGGGGCTGGCAGGTTAGCACAATCGGTTGAGCATGGTGCTGATAACACCAGAGTAAAGGGTTTGGATCCCCTTACCGATTGGCCACACACACACACACACACACACACACAATATATATATATAATATTTTTTTAAATAGATAAATAAAATAATAAAAATGGTTACTTGTGACCCACTGAATTGACTTCATGACCTGCAAATTGAAAAACGCTGCTGTAGGGCCGGCCCGGTGGCGCACTCTCCACTTGGGAGCGCGGCAGCGCTCCCGCTGAGGGTTCGGATCCCATGTGGAGACCGGTTCCCGCTCACTGGCTGAGCGCGGTGCGGGTGCAACACCGAGGGTTGCGATCCCGTTGCCGGTCCCCAGTACGGGCGCGACACCGAGGGTTATGATCCCGTTACCGGTCAGTAAAAAAGACAAAAAGAAAAAAAAAAAAAGAAAAACACTGCTGTAGAGGTGGTCTGAGCCAGACCATACCACAAAGCACATTGTATACCAGACCCAAGAGTTCGGACTTTATTCTGTAGACAATGTGGTGTTCATGGAAAGGAGAAAAAAAAATTGGATATGACTTTTTAAACTATTCTGTAAGAACTTCTCATGTGCTGTTCTTTAAAAGAAGGCCTCAAAACCACACCTGTGACAACCATTAAACCATCAACTTAATCATCTCTTCAAGGCCCCACTTTTCAATTACTGTAATAGGATCTCCCACCCTTTTTTTTTTTTTCCTTTTTGTCTTTTTTCGTGACCGGCAACGGATCGCAACCCTCAGTGTTGCGCCCGTACCGGACCGGGACCGGCAACGGGATCGCAACCCTTGATGTTGCGCCCGCACCTCGCTCAGCCAGTGAGCGGCCGGTCTGTATGTGGGATCTGAACCCTCGGCAGGAGCGCCACCGTGCTCCCAAGTGGCGCACTGTAGCAGTGCGCTACCTGGCCGGCCCAAGGATCTCCCACCCTTTTAACACCATGTCACAGTGAGGGAGCAAGCCTCCAACACATGAAACTTTGACGGGACACAATCCAATTCACTGTGCCAGTCAAGGGTTGCTGACTATCTTATGGCTTTCTTTTTAGCAATTCTGTTTAACACATTTAAAGATGGTCCTCACAGAAGGGCATCAAGCTTCAGGGTGGTTAGAAATGGAGGAGCTGGCCTAGTCATTTTGGGTCATCTTGGCCATGGGTTTAGTGTCAAGGATATATTGAGGGAGAAAAGTCTACAGGTTATACCTTAGGAAAATTCTTCTGGAATAAAGAGGTAGCTGGGCTTTATTTACGTTGTTTTCTTCACCTTAATCCTGAACACCTTTTCAAGCTAACCAGCAGCAAAGTGGACACTGAGATATGTTTAGTTCCAGGGATTTCTCTATGTATGACATGATATTTTCTTTTATTACTATTTTAAGGCATGTACTTTTTTTTTTTTTTTTTTGCATTTATAATAGTCTCCTAAGAGCTTACTATAAATCAGTTTCATAAGCCACAGGAAATAAAAGGACTACAGACAGACTTAAGGGAAACAGGCAGGGAGCTGAGGTGGGCCAAGATGATTCCTGTTTTGTTGTTTTTTGGTGGCTGGCTGGTATGGGGATCTGAACCCGACCTTGGTGTTATAACATCACACTCTAACCAACTGGACTAACTGGCAAGCCTAAGAAGGGCCAGGATGAGTCTAGGGACTGGGTGGGTGCATTTCTTGGGGGCGGGAGGACCTGTAAGGTAAGCGGCACAAACCGGTGAGGCTCCCTGAACAACAGCATAACAACCAACAGGTCTGCAGCAACACACCCTGGGAAATTGTGCCCACGCCTCTGTGGAGCTACTTCCATAACTGTGGCCAAGGTCAAAGAAGGCCTTGCAACCCCAAGGGAGGGGGCCGCATCCCTGGAGGGAGCATCAGACATGCACATTTGTAATATGTATTGTAACGTGATGGAGAAAATAAAATTTATACAGTAAAGTGGGAAAAGAGAGCCAGTGAGAAAAACTCAGCAGCCTGCCTGTGCTCAGCATTACCCAGGAAAGACAGGGGTCTAACTCCCAAATTCATTTCTAGAATAAACAAATTAACAGACTCCAAAGGAGTTTCAAGACCAGTTTCACATTATTGCTTATGCTCCTTACCTTATTTTCCAAATCCCACAATCATTTCTGGAGCTGACCTTTTTATCAACTAACCTCAAACACACCAGGGATAAAACTGAACTTATTTCCTACACACACCAGTTCCCCAAATCTTCTTCTCTCTTCTTGTATTTCTTTGTTTTTTTTTTTTTTTTTGTCTTTTTCCGTGTCCGGCAACGGATCGCAACCCTCAGTGTCGCCCCCATACCGGACAGGGACCGGCAACGGGACCGCAACCCTCCGTGTTGCTCCCGCGCCTCGCTCAGCCAGTGAGCGGGAACCGGTCTGTATGTGGGATCCGAATCCTCGGGCGGGAGCGCCGCGTGCTTCCCAAGAGGCGCACTATCCAGTGCGCCACCGGGCCGGCCCATATTTCTTTGTTTTTATGAAGGGCTCACTTGCCACCATCTTCCTAAGCCAAAATCTGAACATCATCGGTGTCTGGGACCTCCCTTTCCCTTACTCCTCCCTCAACTAATCTCCAAATCCTGGTGATTCTACCTTCCAAATTATCCAGAATCCAACTACTTCTCTCCATTCCCACTGCTTCTTCCTTAGTTCAGGACACCATCATCTCTCGCCAAGAAAACACCAACAGCCCAAGTGGTCTCCCTTAGTCTCACTCCCTATCCATTCGCCACACTGCGACCAGAGTAATCCTTTTTTTTTTTTTTTGGTCCTTTTTGAGACCGGCCGCACCGCCGCACCGCGCTCAGCCAGTGAGCGCACGGGTCATCCCTACATAGGATCCGAACCCACAGCGGGAGCGCTGCTGCGCTCCCAGCGCCGCACTCTCCCGAGTGCGCCACGGGCTCGGCCCCAGAGTAATCATTTTAAAACACAAATCCAATCATGTCGTTACTCAGTTTCAACTCTTTCAATACTAAAGTCCAAACTCCCTAATATAGCTTTTTAGGCTCTCAATGTGGCCGCTGCATCCCTCTCCAGCCTCATGGCCTTATCCCCACGCACCACGTTCTGTTCCGGCCATAATGGACTTTCAGTTCCTGAACCCAACTTTCTCTATTATCAGTAGGCCTTTGCCCACGTTGTTCTCTGCTTGCAACATACTTCTCTCCACTCTTCTTTTAGGTAGCTCAGATGCATTCTCCGGGCTCCAGCTTAGCATGTACAGTCCAAGTAGGCAGTCTCCGTCCCCTAACCGGTGCCCTCGGCGTGGTCCTGTTATTTATGTCTTCCGGGAGGACGGCCCGAAGCGTCGCCCTCCACACTTCATCAGTGTCGGACATTTGAAAGGCTGGAAACACGCGAGCCTCCTCAGTGTGGATCCAGATCCTTGCGGCTCCAGCCCCCGACAGGTAGGGAGCCTACTGAGCTTCAGTACCACAGCAGACACAGCCAAGAAGTCCGAAGCCGGCGCCGGGCCAACCACTGTTGTCACCCTCCCGGAACTCTGGTAGGCCCACGGCCCCGCCTCCCGCGCTGCGTCGGGGACGGGGAGGGGCGGGGCGCCGGTGAGCGGCGTGCGCTGGTCAGGGGCGGGGCCAGGGGCGGAGCGGAGCGCAATACGTAATAACTTCGTATAGCATACATTATACGAAGTTATACGAGCGTGCGCTGGTCAGGGGCGGGGCCAGGGGCGGAGCGGAGCGCGCATGCGCGGTCGCCTTTGTGTGGGTCGATCGGCAGTGGCGGCGGTGGCAGTGGCGGTCCCACTGGCAGGCGGGCAAGAGGGGAGTCCGGGCGGTGTCCGGCGTGGGAGCCGGGGAGCCACCATGGTAAAGAAGCGGAAAGGCCGAGTCGTGATCGACTCGGACACGGAGGACAGCGGCAGCGACGAGAACCTGGATCAGGTGAGGGCAGGCCGCGGAGGCGCGGGCCAGCGGAGCGGGAGGGCTCAGTCCGGGCCACCGGAGCCGGGAGCCGGCCGGGCCCAGAGTCTCCCGGCCCTAGCGCCTGGCCTGCCGTCTACCCTCACCGCCGCTGCAGCTCCCTTCCTGTCCTCTCCGCAGCGTCCGGAGCCCTCGGGGTCCGTCCGGGGCCTGGAGACGGAGCTCGGAGGACTTGGCGCCTTGGGCAGGGAGGCGGGGCAGGGACCAGGCTGATGGGCCTTGTACCCCCGGGGGTACAGAAGGGGGCCGCGATCTGCCGGGGCTGGATTGGGTCGGCGGGTTGCAGGCTAGGCGATCCAGACCCGGAGAGATAGGAAGTATCGCCCGCCAACCCGGGAGGCTGGGAGGTTTGGGAGGAGGTGCAAGGGTGAGCGTGGGGCGCTGTAGGAGGGGGGAGGGCGAGAAGGTGCGGACTCTGGAAGATTTAAGTTTTTCAGAAAAGGGGTGTGGACAGACAGGAGGGACGCTTTGTAAATGTTCCGAAGAGCCTCTGCCGTGCGAGGAAGACTTAGCTGTGAGCTTAAGTCTGTTTGGTGACTAGGGTCGTTTGTGGTTGAGAAGGGTCCCTGTTGGGATGTCAGACCTAAGAAAAGGCTCTTGGGAGGAGGAAGGAGGGCAGATATTGAAAGTAGTGGAGAACTATGTAGGGCGGCATAGAGGGACGGTGGCCCAGGCCTTTTGGCCCTTTTTCATGCAGCGTCCCAGAATTCTTTCTTATTTGAAAATTGTGCAGGAAGCATTGAAAGTAACTTTTGGTCTTAGGATCTTGGGGTTGCTTGGGTATTCTTGAAAATACAGATGGGAGGAAGCTGTCCTTTGTAGTAGTGCTCTAGTTATACCAGTATATACAAAGATCGTTTCTGCTGTATTTAATGAACAGATGATATAAAGAAAGAACATGCAAGAGATAGTAGCTTTGGGCCGGCCCGTGGCTCACTCGGGAGAGTGTGGTGCTGATAACACCAAGGCCTCGGGTTCGGATCCCATATAGGGATGGCCGGTTGGCTCACTCAGTGAGCGTGGTGCTGACAACACCAAGCCAAGGGTTGAGATCCCCTTACCGGTCATCTTTTAAAAAAAAAAAAAAAAAAGAGATAGTAGCTTTATAAGTTGGGTAGAAAGAGTACTGAACTTGGAATCTGAAAATTTGAGTTCTAGGCTGAGCTTATGCTGCTTTCTACTATGTATCTTTGGTCTTAACTGTAAAATCGAGATACAACATCAGCCTTGGGTATCTAATTGAGCTATTGTAGGGATCAAGTGTTTGTTAGAATGATTGTTGGTACAAGCATTTGCAAACTTGGGGGTCCTTTCTATTAGGTCAGAGGTATCAGTACTATAGTATTAGGGCATGAACGGGGAGAATTTTTAAGAAGGAAGGATTGGAGAGGTTTTGAAGAGGGCTGTTTTGAAAATGGCGATGCAGAAGGTGGGGAAATAATGGGGCCTGTGAAGTACTATTAAAGGGATAGAACCCTTGTTTTGGGATAGGAATTGAAAGGGTAAGCTGAAAGTGTTTGAAATTTACAAAATGTAAAAAATATATACTTGACTATAAAAGCTTGGTTGATAGATAATTTTAGACTGGCAATTGGGAGGATTAAAATTTTTTTTTACTGCTTTCTGATCTACAAATGTAGAGGTTTCAGATAATAACAGCATCAGCTACCATTTACATAGTGCCTAGGGTGAACTAGACCCCTTAATTAAGTGGTTTATTTACACTGTCAAGTTTTCAAATTATGGTGAAGTTGGAATCATTTTCCCCACTGTACATATGAGGAAAATGGAGGTTGAAAAAGTAATTCACACAGCTAGTCAGTGTTAGAGTTCAAATTTGAACTCCAAACTGTATGAGTCCAAAGCCTATACTCTTTCCACTGTACCAATGTTAGTATTTTAATTTTTCATATTGCATAATGAAAATATTTCATAGTCATTTTCCACATTGCTTAGAATTCATGTTTGTAAAGTACACTGAATAGAGGAGATTGGTACATAGATGAAAGAGATTATTTGGGGGGCTTCCTTGATAAGGCACTCTCAAGACATTTGTTCTGATGATGAACAAACTAAGGTGCCAATTAAGGCCGGCCCGTGGCTCACTCGGGAGAGTGCGGTGCTGATAACACCAAGGCCACGGGTTCGGATCCTATATAGGGATGGCCGGTTTGCTCACTGGCTGAGCGTGGTGCTGACAACACCAAGCCAAGGGTTGAGATCCCCTTACCGGTCATCTTTATTAAAAAAAAAAAAAAAGGTGCCAATTATTCTATCTTTAGTGTTTTTTTTACATAATTCTGATGAATGAAATAACTTGAGTGCTTCCTTTTTTTTTTTTTTTTGGTTGCCTGTAGCACCCAGGCAGTCTCCCATCCACGTTCTAACCAGGCCTGATCCTGCTTAGCTTCTGAGATCAGACCGGATTGGACATGTTCTGGGTGGTATGGGTGCTATGGCTGTAGACCGAGTGTTTTCTTCTGTGGTAGAGCAATTTACCTGATCCATAAAGAGCTTTTGCAGAGTGGGAAGTGGAGGGGATTACAACTTTAAACCCAGTTCTAAATTAAATATCTATTTGTAAAAAGAAATTAAAGTGAAATTCGTAAGAAATACCTAATTATTTTAACAGCAGTTTCAACTTCCTCCCCTACAACTACTCATTGGCATTCTTGTTATCAGATGGGAACTAGATCAAAATTCACTTTCCCTGCACATCCTACAGGGACACCAATATCTTCTATCTATTTGTTCCGCATTGTGCCAGGCTCTCAGAGGAACGAGAGAGAAAGATCTCTGCCCTCTGGACGTTTTCACCAGAGGCCTTGAAGCAGGAGTTTACAGTCAGTGCAGTTTGGGGGTCTTTAGGGATCCTCAGACACAATTAATGCATTCTGGGCTTTCCTGACCAAGATGCCTTGCGCTATTCCATCTAGCTCTGAGTTTTCGTTGGGGGTATAACATTGGACTTGCTGTCTAGTTTATGGTCTTTGTGGAAAGAGCCAATCATGACAAATCTCTGAGTTTCTAGTGTGGAGTGGAGCATAGTTAGTAAGGAGGCTCTTTGTCTCTTGGTTTTCCAGCTAGGAATCTAAGTCATTATGTCAGAAATATTACCTCCAACTTAGTCCTTATTGAAGGTGAGATAAGTGAGTCTTCTAGTCTGTTTTTTTCTGAAGGTGGGGGGAGGACCCCTGTGTCAGAAGCCACCTGAGTTGCTTATTTAAAAGGTAGTTTGGGGTGTGTGGGGCACTGAGCCTGCCATCCCAAACCTACTGAATCAGACCTTCAGGGGACTCTGCATTTCTAACAGGTGCAGCCCAGGTAATTAAGATTTATTTTAATGATTGAGACCACTGTCTGTATACAAGTTAATCTTTTTAGTAAGACATTGTAAGTTGTTTGGGAAATAGCTTCCTATCTCTGCCATAGTGCATCCACTAGTGTATCCACATTAGGAGCACACGTACAACCAAAGGAACTTGACAGGGATGTTTGAGGTGGCAAAACTGCTGGTTCTAAATCTCTGAAGAATTGTTGGGATGCTTTTTATTGACGCCTATTTCTTTTTTCTTCTTTCTTCTTGTTGGAAAAAGGTATATAGTAACTAAAGTGGAGTAGTTTAAATTTTGTTTTAATTTACAAAGTTTTTTTTTTTTTTTTAATTTATTTTTTGGCAGCTTACTGGTTTGGGGATCTGAACCCTTGACCTTGGTGTTATAACACTGCCCTCTAACCAACTGAGCTAACTGGCCAGCCTTCTTAACAAAGGTTTTTTAAAACACAGACCTTACTTGGAGAGTTTGAAGGATTTTCTTTTAGCATGTGACCTAATAGTGACCCTGTTCTTATGTTGGCACCACCCTTTCTTCAACATTTTTTTTCCTAAAAGATGACCGGGAAGGGGATCTTAACCCTTGACTTGGTGTTGTCAGCACCACGCTCTCCCAAGTGAGCTAACCGGCCATCCCTATATAGGGATCCGAACCCGTGGCCTTGGTGTTATCAGCACCATGCTCTCCCATGTGAGCCACAGGCCTCCTTTCTTCAACATTTTAAAATTGCAAGATACTTGCAATTGGTGCCTCTTGGAAAAAAATAACAGAATTTGAGGCAAACCTCTGGGCTTTTTTGCCTCATCATATACCTGCATCTAGATAATGTGTCACTCTTTATGGAATACTTATGCAGTGGATCCTATAATAAAAAGCATCCAAGATAATAAAGGGAACCGTTCTCTGTTCAGATCAGTACAGCTCAGTATTTCTAAAAATTTTACTCTGCCTTTCTCAAAAAAAAAAAAAAGAAAGAAAGAGAAAGCACTATATGCACACTGGAATGCTTTATTTCATAATTTCCTTTCTTATTTATTTATTTATTTATTTATTTTTTCCCTTTTTTCGTGACCTGCAACGGATCGCAACCCTCAGTGTCGTGCCCGTACCTGACCGGGACCGGCAACGGCAACGGGATCGCAACCCTCGGTGTTGCACCCGCACCTCACTCAGGCAGTAAGCAGCCGGTCTGTATGTGGGATCCGAACCCTCAGCGGGTGTGCTGCTGCTGCGCTCCCAAGCGGTGCACTGTAGCAGTGCGCCACCGGGCCGGCCCATTTCCTTTCTTATTTAAAATGATGATTATGTTGTCATGTCCTGTTTTTCTCTGCTCATCCAACTTGAAGTAGCAGTAGTTAAATTTGTCTTTGAGAGAATAAGAACTGTAAGTATTTTCTAGAAACTATTTTTAGACATTAACATGTAAAAAGACATTATTGTTATAAAGTATCCTTCTGTAAACCTTCCCCATAAAAGTTGGGAAATTAAAAAGTTGTGCTTCTCACTAATATAGTCTTCACATTAGCAGGAGCAGATTTTGAAGTCTAGGATAAATTTGTGAGAAGTGTCATTGTTAACTTGTGAAGTTTTTAATTTATGTCATAATGTTGCATCTAAGCTTGATGTAACTCATTTGCTAATTTTACTTGACTTTTCTTTAGAAATAGTACAGGAGGAGTGAGTCCCATGGGAGCTTTTCAGAAAAATATAAAACCTATCTTCAGACACAGGTTCTGTTGGTGTACAGGAGTACTTCAAAAAGTTTGTGGAAAATAGAGTTGAAACATAATATAAATCTTTCCATGAACCTTTTGAAGTACTCTTGTATTTATTGCTCCCTTCCTAGAATTTTAAGTTTCCCCAAGGGGGGAGATTGTTTGTTCATCTTTCTTTTTTTTTTTGTCTTTTTCGTGACCGGTAAGGGGATCACAACCCTTGGTGTGGTGTCATCCGCACCGCGCTCAGCCAGTGAGCACACCGGCCAGTCCTATATAGGATCCGAACCCGTGGTGGGAGCGTCGCTGCGCTCCCAGTGCCGCACTCTCCCGAGTGTGCCGCGGGCTGGCCCGTTTGTTCATCTTTCGACAAATGGGTTAGATAGTGCTAACCCTATCACGACGGCTAGTGGGTGAACAAAATGGAAGTAGTATCAACCTCCAAGGAGCTATAGATTGGGGGGGTGGCATTGATCAAAGGGTGCTTTCCTTACAATTGTGCTCCAGGCTGTGAAGGAAGAGCAAAGATACTGTGAGAGGATGACCAGGGAACTATACTAGCTTCATGAGAATGCCATGTAAACTGTGACCTGGAATATGTGTTAAGGAAAAGGAGATTAGGAGACCGAAGCATAAAGGGAAAGGTGTTGAGTGTTCATGGTTAAGGGACCAGCAGGTAGAAAAGAAATGAGGCAGGAAGGACCTCGCATCCTCATGAAACTGAAAGAAGCACAAAGTGATGGAACATAACAAGTTGGAGAAAAGGTGCTACAAATGAAGCTGCAGGGGGAGATTCTGTTTTGACCCTTTGGGGATTAAACCGAGAAGTCGGTTTAATGGATTACAACCAGCATTAAAAATGAATTGAATAAAAACATCAAGTGTGTCATACATGATAAAGTATTGTTTCATGAAGCTTGTGTTTCATGCATGTACAGATAGTGGGTCATGAGGTGTAATTTATCTTACTGTGGGCTGGGGTTAAAAAGTTTTAAAGCCACTGGCAGGACCATCTGGGCAATGTTAATGACTTTGGATTTTATTTTGAGGGCAGTAAGAGTCACTGAAGGATTGTAAGTTGAAAGAGTTATTCAGATTTGCTTCTTTTACGAGCTTACCCAGACTGCTATGTGGAGTGTAATATGGAGGGGGAGGGAATACTAGTTAGGTAGCAGAAAGAGGAGTCCAGCTGAGAGATGGTGGAAAGCCTAAGTTCTAGAATGGAAGCTCTCGGAGAGCAAAGGTGTTGTTCACTGTAGTATCACTGGTACCTACAACAGTGCCTACATGCAGCAGGCACCCTGTCGATATTTGTTGAATGAAGGACTGACTTGGATTGGTAGGGAAGTTATAAAGATGACAGATAGTAGAATCAACTGATCATAATATTCAGGATTTAAAACTGACAGGACTTGACTGATTGGATGTTGGGATGAGAAGAGGAGGTATAAGAGATGGATGTCAGCACCCTGGAGGAAGATCAGGTTTAAAAGTGAAGATTAAGAGTTGAGTCTGGGATATGTGGAGTTTAAAGTGTCTATGAATATCCAGTGGAGACATTAAGTGGGTAGTTGAAAATAATGCCTACCTGACACAGAGTAAGGCACTTGAATCTTTGTTGAATAAGCAAATGCTACTGGTATATCCACAGTGGAAAATTTTTAACCTGGTTACGGAGGGATTTCTTAGAGACATAAGGGACACTGTCAGTTTGGGGGTTCTTGCTCCAGCCCCACTACTGTAATACTGATATCCCTCCTTTAAGGAGTAGAAATGTGTTTTAGTTAGGAAGTGTATTAGGAGAAGGGAGCAAAGTAAAAACAAGTAACAATGGTAAAATCCTTTTTAAAAAAAATATATCTTTTATTTTGAATGAGTTGAAAGCTGATTATTTTGCCAATTCTACAACATTATGGGCATTTATATAACTCAATATTTTTATCTACAATTATAATTACTTTGCTGGAAGTTTGAGGGAAAAGTTGCCAAATTTACTGCCAATCATATGAAATTTAAAGGTTTGTTGTATTACCACTTTGGAACTATTACTTCAGAAGGGTTTTTGTGTGTTTGTTATTGTTTCAGTGTTATTATAAAAACTAATACAGGTCTGTTGAAACAGTTCTAACAATACAGAAATACCTTCCTTTCACATAAACATATATACACACAATGGCTCCCTTCCTTATTCCTGAAAAGTAACCAATGTCCACTGTCTGAATCATGTTCCTCTACCAACAATTTTGGTATGAAAGTAAGAATAGGAATTAATATCTCAAATTTAAAACTTTGGGTATTCTTCTTCTTCTTCTTTTTTTTTGGCAGCTGGCTGGTAGGAGGATCTGAACTGTGGATTATCCTTCTTTCCTCAGCATCTCTCAAGTCATCCCACTTCTCTGTCCCTGTGGCTACTTACCTTGTCCAGGCCACCATCCATTCTGATGAGACTGCTGTGGTTTCCCTCTGACTCCTCTCTGCACTTCCACCCTGGCCTCTCTACTCCATTCATCTAGAGCACTCCAGCTAGAGTGCTCTTTTTTTTTTTTTTTCCTAAAAGTGTCTGGCCAGTACAGGAATTGAACCCTGGACCTCGGTGTTATTAGCACCTCACTCTAACCAACTGAGCTAACTGGCCAGCCTCCCAGAGTGCTCTTTTAAAAATCTGCAGTGGGCTGGCAGGTTAGCTCAGTTGGTTAGAGTGAGGTGTTGTAACACCAAGGTCAAAGGTTCAGATCCCCATACCGGCCAGCCGCCAAAAAAATAAAAATAAAAACCCTCAGTAGATTGGGTTACTCCCCTGCTTAAAACCATCTGATGGCTTCCCACTGCCTTCAGATAAAATCCATGCTCCTCACCCTGCTTTACAAAACTCAGAGTGATCTGGTTTCTTCTTACCCCTAGCCCACCTCATTTTATTTCCCCCCTTGCCTGCTCAGCTTCAGTCACACTGTTTCTCTTTCAGTTCTTTGACTAAGCCAAGCCTGTTATCAGCTTCAGGGCCTTTGCTGTTCCATCTGGAGGCCCCTGTCCAGAAAACTGCATCCCCTTTCCTTTCCCAAAGTTTCTAGTCTTGGCTTATGTGGCCTCAAAGAAGCCTCCCCTGAGCATCTCACTGCAGACATATCCTCCATTCATTTGATTCACTTCCTTTTTTAGTGCTTATCATTAGATGTAATTCATTGTTTCTTTACTTGTGTATTGTTTGTTTCCCACACTTGATTATAAATTCCACGAGGTCGAGCACCATGTATTTTTTCTTCACTGTTTGCTACCCAGGGCTCAGTACATAGTGAGTGCTTGTAGTAGGGTGGCCAACCGTCCTGGTTTGCCTGAAACTGAGAAGTTTCCCAGAATGCAGGACTTTCAGTGCTAAAACTAGGACAGTCCTGGGCAAACGGGATTTGGTCACTTTAGCTGATAGTAATTATTTACATTAGTTATATCTGTGGAATAAGTAAGTGAAAAATGGTTAGAGTGTGTTATTGATAACCACAAGGACTAGGGTTCAATCCCTATTGGCCAGCAGCCAAAAAAAAAAGTAAGTGAAAAAGATGTCAGCATGCTAATTATCTATAAAAAACCTCTTTAGGTTTATTCATATGAGCTTTTATTCTCCTTTTCTTGCTTTATTTTAGGATCTCTGTTTTGACAGTCTAGTTTAATGTTGAGTAAAGCTTTTAAGCAATACTAATTAATGAAACTGCCCTAAAAGCCAGATGTGACATCTCTACATAGCTGTACCTATAGTGGTTTGGGCATTGGCATTACTTTAAGCAGATCTTTGGTTCACCTTAAATTTGACATACCATGGTGCTTCCGCACACTTAATTCCCTTAGGGGAATGTTGAGATAAACAGGGAGGATTTTCACTGGATTGTGGTTGAGAGAGGTCCACTGGACACACAGAAATGTTGTCTCAACCAGTGTGGCGCAGTGAAGTGGGCAGACAGGAGAGAGCCATAGATGGACCCACTGTTTATGGATCAGTTTTTTTTTTTTTTTCCTTTTTATCTTTTTTACTGACCAGTAACGGGATCGCAACCCTCGGTGTCACGCCCGCACTGGGGACCGGCAACGGGATCGCAACCCTCGGTGTTGCACCCGCACCGCGCTCAACCAGTGAGCGGGAACCGGTCTCCACATGGGATCCGAACCCTCGGCGGGAGGGCCACCGCGCTCCCAGATGGAGCACTTTCCAGTGCGCCACTGGGCCGGCCCTATGGATCAGTTTGGGTTTAGCTTTTTGGAGTACAGGGGGTGGATAGGTCATCCCTAACAGATCTGATGGTCTCTTTAGGCATGTGGTGTTTGGAAAGCATTTTGGTTGCATATTGGTGTACTCAGCTGTACTTATGAGCCCTCAATAGAGTATAAAGGACTGAACTATAAAAAGTATCCTTACTAGGGCCGGCCCTTGGCTCACTTGGGAGAGTGTGGTGCTGATAACACCAAGGCCACGGGTTCAGATCCCTATATAAAGATGGCTGGTTAGCTCACTTGGAAGAGCGTGGCGCTGACAACACCATGTCAAGGGTTAAGATCCCCTTACTGGTCATCTTTAAAAAAAAAAAAAAAAAGACTAGCTTTACCATGAGTTCCCCCTGTAATTTCCTGTACAATTCTCAAGTTGTGGCAAGTGGACCTTTTACACTGTTAAGAGGTCTTTGCTGTCTCCATACTATTGTTTTTTTTTTTTTTTAAAGATGACCAGTAAGGGGATCTTAACCCTTGACTTGGTGTTATCAGCACCACACTCACCCAGTGAGCAACCTGCCCATCCCTATATGGGATCCGAACCCGTGGCCTTGGTGTTATCAGCACCACACTCTCCCAAGTGAGCCACGGGCTGGCCCCCATACTATTGTTAATAAGGTATTTAGTGTAGTAGGAGACGAGGGACTGTGCTTATCAGATGCAGTTGTTCATTGATGAAGGAGAGCCATTTGTTAGGTTTTGGTATAGAGTGAAACCTCTTTAACAGGAAAGCAGTACTAATATCTTAACACTTTAGTCACAGTAACTTTCAAGGGATGTCTACTGCACGTAATAGTTAATGTTTCAGTGAAGGATTTGATTGATAGAGTATCCAAGTCTCCATTATAATGAGTTAGTATGAAAATAGGAATCCTAGTGCATTTGTGAACCTCAAGGGATCAGGGAAGAGATTACTTACCCAGCAGTCTTTCTAAAGTTTATAAATTTGCATTAAGGTAATATGGAAATAAAGGTAATAGTAAAGGCCATAAACAAGTTACCATACAATCCAGCAATCCTACTCTTAGTATTTACCCTGAAATAAAAACTTATGTTTACACAAAAACCTGTACGTGAACATATAATCATCCCAAAATGGAAACAGCCCAAATGTTTTTCAGTTGGCGAATGGATAAACTAACTGTAGTACATCCATATAATGGAATACAAGTACTACGTAGCAATAAAAAGGGATGAACTACTGATACTTGCTGCAGCATGGATGAATCTCAAAATGCATTATGCCGAATGAAAGAAGCGAGACTCAAAAGGCTACGTACTGTATGATTTCATCTATACATCATTCTACAATAAACAGATCTAAGGGGACAGAAAACAGATCTATGGTTGCCAGAGGATGAGAGGGAGAGGTATAAAGAGGATGGGAGAATTTGGGAAGGTGATGGAACTGTCCTATATCTTGATTGTGGTAATGATTAAATTATGAATTTGACAAACTCATAGAACTATACATTAGACAGGATAAAATATACCATATGTGAATTATACCTCAAGTTTTTAAAGGACCATAAACACACAAATAGTGCTGTAATTTGCATTTGGTCCATAGGAGTTACCACTTTGGTATGAAAGAGTAGAGGGTTCTTACCATCTTTAGCTTTTTCAGGAAGTTGTTATGCTAATTCTCTCTAATGAAATGAGAAGAGCAACATTTCACGACTGCATACAAATAAGAGAGAGTGTCAGCTGCTTAATCTGAGAAGGTCATTTTCTCATTCTGGCCAAGCAAGGAGGGTATATTCCTAAAATAGAAAGAGCCTGGAAGAAGAAAACAGATACTTTGTAGCAATCTATTATTTTAAAATCTGTTTTGGCACTTGACCTGTAATTGTATAGCACCATCGTCATCACAGAATAATGCTACTAGTACTTGTTAGCTGTATTTTTTTCTCTTTTGGCAGAAGGGAAAAATGTTTTATACTAGTAAACCATGACTGAGTTAGAAGCCAGAATTCTGTCAGCCCAGGTTCGAATCCTGGCTCTATCATGTACTAGCTGTGCTACTAGGTAAATTACACAATTTGGGTAAATTACTTAATCTCTCTCTTGCTCCTTAGTTTATCTTTAAACGGGATGATAAGGATACATATTGTGGGTTGATGTAAATATTAAATATCAGGTGCTTAGAAAAGTATCTGGCATCTAGTAAGTGCAGTATATTGTGAACTGGTATTGGTATTAGCAGAGACCAGAGGAAGTAACTTTTTGTTGCATTTTTGAGTGACTGGATTGAGTCGGGGAGAACTAAAGGGAGAGGAGATCCATGTTACAGAGCAAATCCTGACTGTAACCATGGCTTACTTACTGGCACTTCCCTCCCCCTCTAATCTCACTTAAATCACCAGGACAAGGCAGAGGTGGTGAATGGGATTGTCAGGTTAGGATTCTGATCTAGTGGCCAGGACACTTACTGCTTGTTGTCAGACCTGGATTAAACACCAGAAATATACACTTCTTTTTTTCCAGTTTATACATTCAAAATATAAAATGACCTCAGAAACTTACAGTTTGTAAACTTATTCAAAACAGCCCGACAAATGACAATTTTACCATGAAATACAGTAAAAGGGATGCCCAGAGTATTAGTTAGCTGTACCAGTTAAAACAGTGAGGAGATTATCTTTGTTAACATGGTTCTTATCAGTCCCCCAAAATCAATGCTTCTATAGTTTAGAGAGGAATCAGCGACAATTTGGAGGTAGCCTCCAGTTCAGTTTCCCAGTTACTTTTTCATTTCAGACATACATTTCCCAGTAAGAAGGTGGGGGCAGATTTTGAAAACATTTCTTTAGCACCTAGGAATACTGGCAGTCAGTCTGTTCATGTGATAGAAGTCCCCATTATGATGTCCTTCAGGTGAAAGCACAATAAAAGAGATGTAGGGAAGGTAAGCATTTTATTGTTCTTAGATGTGCTTCTTCTGTTGAACAAAACTGATGTGGATTTTTCTGCCCTTTTAGGAGCTCTTGTCCCTAGCAAAGCGGAAGCGCAGTGACTCTGAGGAGAAGGAGCCACCTGTAAGTCAGCCTGCAGCCTCGTCAGACTCTGAGACGTCCGATAGTGATGATGAGGTGGGTGTAGAGGAGCTAGGCCTGTGTCATTGATGGGTATTTGCGGGTCCCGGAGTTGGTAACTCCTGGTGCCTTCATATCCTTAAACTGAGGCCTATAGTGTAAGATCTGTAAGAACTTATTAAGGAAAGAAAATTGTGTAAGGAAAGCTCTTGAATTGTTATGTTTGTTGTACTGCTAGTTACCTAGTGGTTACCTCTGCAGGGCGTTTGTGGCCATTTTTTTAGTCTTGGTTTTAGCCTTATTACAGAATAACGGGCACAACTTTACCTTTTTAAATTTTTTTTTCCTGAGTCATCTTTTTAATCTCATGTGTCATGTTACAAGAGAAATTCTATGAAGAATGCTGTATCTTAGTGAGAAATGCTTTAATGAAAGAAGATGGTTTCTTGGCGAAGATTGATTTGACCTTCCTCGGAGTGATGCTGTTAACTTTAAAGGAGGAAAATTGAACTGTTAATTGTCTAAACCAAGGTGACTTTCCCAAACTACCCCCCAAGAAGGAAGGCCCTAAAAGATCCAGATCCTTAATGGAAGACAGGGATGAGGGGAAAGGTGTTTGAAACACTCCTATGTGTTTGTTGTTTGATTTAAAATACTTTTTTCCAGGGCCGGCCCATGGCTCACTTGGGAGAGTGCAGTATTGATAACACCAAGGCCACAGGTTTGGATCCCTATATAGGGATGGCCGGTTAGCTCACTTGGGAGAGCGTGCTGCTGACACTACCAAGACAAAGGTTAAGATCCCCTTACCGGTCATATTTTTAAAAAAATTTTAAAAATGGGCCAGCCCGGTGGCGCACTGCTACAGTGCGCCGCTTGGGAGTGTGGTGGCGCTCCCGCCGAGGGTTCGGATCCCACATACAGACCGGTTCCCGCTCACTGGCTGAGTGAGGTGTGGGCGCAACACCAAGGTTTGCGATCCCGTTGCCGGTCCCGGTCCGGTACGGGCGCGACACTGAGGGTTGCGATCCGTTGCCGGACACGAAAAAAGACAAAAAAAAAAAAAAAATTTTAAAAATGCTTTTTCCCTTAGTAATTTCCTGGAGAGAAACCAGATATCACCTTTCTATTTAATCTCTTACCCTGCACTCTTGAAAATATTTTTCTTAACAATAACGTAAAAAATGTTTATTTAATATAATGAAATTTAATTAATAGCTGAACAGTATTTACCAGTTCCCTACATACTCAAATTGGGAATGATTGACTGTAGTGATATTTTCTTAATCTTAAATAATTTAATAGACCTAAAATTGCTTTCCACAGCAAGAGGTAGTGAATATTTATTTTATTATATTTATTTTTTTTAAAGATGACCAGTAAGGGGATCTTAACCCTTGACTTGGTGTTGTCAGCACCACATTCTCCCAAGTGAGCTAACCAGCCATCCCTATATAGGGATCTGAACCTGTGGCCTTGATGTTATCAGCACTGCACTCTCCCAAGTGAGCCACGGGCCAGCCCCTAAATATTTCTTCTTTTTTTAAACAGCACTTTTTTTTTTTTTCAGCTGGCTGGTTGGTACAGGGATCAGAACCCATGCATGACCTACATGATGTAAGGCTGTATGCTAACCAACTGAGCTAATTGGCCAGCCAATGTTTATTCTTTTGTTTATTTTTATTGGAGGAACTGTAACTCCTCTCAAATTCATAAAATAACCCAATCTGTTAGAAAATAGTGGGTTCTGTAAAGTAATTTGCTTTTTGCTTTTTCATTTTCTTTTTTTTTTTTGGCAGCTGGCTGGTAAGGGGATGTTTCTTGTTTTAATTGCATAGACAATACAGCAATACAAGAAAATCTTGAAATAATTCCCTCTCCCAGTATTCCTACAGCTACTTTTATTTTTTGTGTTTCAGAAGTTAACTGCTGTGATCCTCCTTTCCCCCTCTCTATATCCTATCAAGTTTGAATCTGTGTTGTATATCCGTAATGTGTTTGTGATCTTTGAAGTTCCTTAAGATACAAGCAGTAATCCTTGGAACTCTTTCTTTCTCTACATTCCTCTCATTAGATCAGGGTCCTAAGTATGCAGTTACTATAGGGATTCTCTTTATCCTTTTTAGCTGCTTCTACCAGGAGGGTAGAGTGTGTGTCCTCCATAGCATTAGAAGAGCCCAAAACTTGTGTTAGAATCGGGCCGACCCCATGGCGCACTCGGGCCGCGGGTTCGGATCCTATATAGGGATGGCCGGTTCGCTGGTTCGCTCACTGGCTGAACATCCTGCAGCCGGTCACAAAAAAAGAATAGATCCCAGATCCGTAAAAATCTTCATAATTTAGGGTTCCCTTTATTACTTGCAGCTACTTAATCAAGTCAAAAAGTTCTCACCTTAGAATACTACCCAACTGTTTATGCACTTATTGGAGAAAAGGTTAGATAGGTAAGCTGTGCCCTGCATAGTAGGGGATAAAACTTTGAGTGACTTTTCCCCTGCAAGGCTCTTAGCTCCTGCTGCTCCCTCCAGGTGCCAGCCTCCCAGCCCTACAGGCCCAGCCCAGAAATGGCAGTCTCTATATCATGGCTATTCTGGAAGATGCCTGTCTTTGGTTTGCATCACCTCTCTTTAGCCCGTGCTGCTAGCTTAACACAGAGCACTTCAAAATTTGAGCAAATATTTCATTATTTTGGACAATTAAGAAAATAACTATTGAGGGCCGGCCCGTGGCTCACTCGGGAGAGTGTGGTGCTGATAACACCAAGGCCACGGGTTCAGATCCCTATACAGGGATGGCCGGTTAGCTCACTTGGGAGAGCATGGTGCTGACAACACCAGGTCGAGGGTTAAGATCCCCCGGTCATCTTTAAAAAAAAAAAAAGAAAGAAAATGAAGATAACTATTGAAATCTTCTTTTAAATCCTACCAGTCACTAGAGAACTCAGTGGTATTACTGAACTCAGATTTATGGCTACTGTAGACATTTTAGGTTAGATAGGACTTCTTTTTTTTTTTAAAGATGACTGGTGTTGTCAGCACCACGCTCAGCCAGTGAGCTAACTGGCCATCTCTATATGGGATCCAAATCCGGGGCCTTGGTGTTATCAGCACCACACTCTCCCGAGTGAGCCACGGGCCGGCCCTGGATAGGACTTCTGAGAGATCCTTAGGATATAAAGTTTGAGACAGTGGTTCTTGCTTTTTTTTTCTTCCTCATAACAAATTTATACATCTTTCTGTGGGGAAAAAAAACCCACATACTGACATAGTTTGTTATATCTTCTCATTTCTGCTTTGGTTTTTATATCTTTATTACCTTCAAATTAGCCTTTTAGAAATATGGTTGTTAAAGGGCCGGCCCGGTGGCGCACTGCTACAGTGCGCCGCTTGAGAGTGCGGCGGCGCTCTCACCGAGGGTTCGGATCCCACATACAGACTGGTTCCCGCTCACTGGCTGAGTGAGATGTGGGCGCAACACCAAGGGTTGCAATACCATTGCCGGTCCCGGTCCGGTACAGGCGCAACACTGAGGGTTGTGATCCGTTGCCGGACACGAAAAAAGACAAAAAGGAAAAAAAAAAAAAAAAGAAATATGGTTGTTAAAGTGGCAAATCTCAATAAGAAGGAGACTGCTTATACCGGAAACTACTGTGGAGTTTTTTCAAATATGCCTCCCTTATTGCTCATTGTCATTAGTGAGCCATGAATATAGGTAGAAAGAAATATATTGATCCCTTCAGATTTGCTAGGGCAGAAAATTGGTCAATAAGAACTAAGTTAAAAGGTTAATGGGTAGTTTATTATAAGGAGAGACATGCACTGATTTTAGAGCAAGAAGGTATCTAGCTGATTGATGGGAGGAGGGGAAACAGAGAGAAGTATGAGGGGTTTTGATCCAGAAAAAAGTGGACAAACTGGACATTAAGCATAAGGTCCAATTAGTGAGGAATAAGATGTTTCATGTATAGTATCTTTAGGGGGAAAAACATCTAAGTTTAATGACAGAATGTACTTATTATTTTTGGTGAGTGAATTACTCTCAGTGATATCTTGAAGCACAAGTGAAAATAAGAAACAAGGCTCTTTCCATAACGTTTACATTGACCAAGCCTGGGAAATACTTTTATTTCTCAAAAATGTTGAAAAGAAGGTGATATATTATTATTATTATTATTTAAAAATAATTTTGCTTTGGCAGAGGATATTAGAACACACTTCAGCTGCTGCCGCACTTTGTCTAATATAGTTATATTCAATTTTGAACAACAAAAAGTTTGTTTTGGTACACCTCAGTGGTAGAAGGTCATAGTGCTGTGTTGTGGCATTTTGGTGCTGTCACTTTCTGTCCTGAAAACATTTGATAGGAGAAGAAGCCACAGTTGCAAACAAAAATGACAGGGAGGAAAAATAACCAGGTTAGGAGGAAAAGAGCTAGCAACCATTCACTCATGAGTTAGGGTTAAAAAAAAATGGCCAAAACAAAGAAGTTCTTTTGTTTAGAGAAACAGGGTCTTACATCAGATAGTTCCAAGTTCTTTTTAGAAACACGGTGGACCATATAGTTGCCAACTAGATAAGAAGGAAACGTAGATTTTCACTAATTACCAGTAAAAATGACTTTGGAAACCAAAAAAAAAGCTTTTTGTTGCTCAACATTGAATATGAGCTGGCTGGTTGCTCAGTTGGTTAGAGCATGGTATTATAACACCATGGTCAAGGGTTTGGATCGCAGTACTTGCCAGCCGCCAAAATAAAGAAAACACAAACAAAAATTGAATATAACTACATTAGACAAAGTGAGGCAACAGCTGAATTGTGTTCTAAAATCCTCTGCCTCAGCAAGAATTATTATTTTCTTTTTTTTTTTTTTCTTTTTATTGGGCTGCTGGCTGGTAAGAGGATCTGAACCCTTGACCTTGGTATTATCAACAGTACGCGCTAACCAACTGAGCTAACCAGCCAGCCCAAGAGTTATTATTTTAAAAAGCTTCATGTATAGTCTTGTTTTCAACATTTTTGAAAAATAAAAGCATTTGGCCCAACCCTGTAGTTCAGCAC